CCTGGTTTTTGACGTCACCTGTATGTCACCACAGTGTAAGTTCAATCCATTCCCTACTGAAGTCATTGAACTATCTAATTTTACACAGAGCATAATGAACAGAATTTACACGGTTATACTTTGTTTCATTCATCTTTTTAAGTCTTTGGAGAAAGATTTGCACTCAAATGCGATTTTGAATGATTTTCAACTTACCGACTGGTTTGTATTAAAGGAACAAACACTCAAGGAGCTGTAGCATGTTTTAGATTGAACAATATTCTGTCAAATGAGGCATTGTAGATTACTACTCCACATGAAGATCCTGTTTAAGAAGGAGATATTACCGTGGAAAATACTGTTCTGTATTTAAAAATTTCGTTCATAGTAAAGCTACCATTAATTCTTTTAACAGTTTGATTCCTGATTTGACTAAGTTTCGAATAATTGTTGAATACTACTGAAATATTTTTAGGTAGCATAACTGTTAGTGTAGAATTTTTCTGTATGTTAAAAGAACCTGTTGGGATTTCGGACTAATTTCAAGTGTTCGATTTTTGTTGAGAAGTAGCATCACCTAGAGAGATATTTGAAAAGCACTGAGCACTATACAGGTTTATCGTCCATTTTTTGGATTCTTCAGAAGTGCTTTTCCACGATTTTGCAGGGGAAAGAATCCGAGACCAAGCTCGTTTAAATTCAGTCACTTGGGCTGGAAACTACTGACCCTTAAGTTTTAAGTTTTTCAGCATTTTTGGTTTTATGGCGAAAATCTAAAAATTGAAATCAATCAAAAATCCTTACGAATCCTACAGTCCAAATACGAATCATCAGCTCTTTAATGACTACTGGGTAGATTTCCTGAAGCTGCAGTGTGAAATCGTGACCAGTGGGATCCACCATGTTGAGGTAGACTGAATGCTAATCCAAGGCACTGGTAAAGGCAGCGCTACATCGTGAGCTGAAGAATTTGGAATGCAAGGGTTACTGAATTCCACCCCACGTGTCTGAATGATTAGCAAGCTTGGTCCCGTAACCTGAATGTCCCGGTTTCTTTCCCTGGAAGTGTCGTGGAAGAGCACTTCTAAAGGGTCCTAGAATAGGACGAAACTGCTGTTACCCAGTGCTCCCTTTAGTCTCTCTCTCTTTAGTCTTTTTTCTAGGTTTATAATCGGCCAAGCGACTTTTTTAGTAGCATGTTGGCTGTATGTCAAACTTGATGAAGAATACTTGTGGTTTTGTATTTTCTTATGGGATTCGTCCTAAACAGCCAACGAACACTTACGTTTTCAGTGTTATTTAGGATACCCTTCAGTTTCGAGCTTTACTAAATTTTTTTAGGGATTTTGGCATAAACAACTACTCACTGAATTAACAGATTTGCGAAGCGCCACCGTTACTAGTAGGTTTCGGTCTTTCAGTCGCAATGGGTAGGCGTCAAGCTGTAAAATTAACTCATCAATCCAATGTGAAACCTGATAGTTGTGTGTTTGGACCTGAATAGTGGAGACTATAAGTGGAACAACATTGTTTTCTGGTACCAGTAGTTCTTCAGTTAATACTGATCCATACTGGAGACCCCCCATCATCTGTTGATCACCTAAAAGCTTTCCATTCAATTATAATCCTGCACGTAAGTTCTTTAAAGACACTTCCAAAAACCTAAATTGACTATATAATAATGTTTGGAAAATATTTTGGCAAAATAATAATGTCTACTTATTTATTAGTTAGTAGTATCTATCTCTATACGAAACTTTTAATTGATCTCATCTTGAATCATTTAGCTCCACTTCAAGTATTCAAATTATTGCAGTAGAAGAGAAGAAATAATCGTTTATGATAGTTATGCAATTTAAGTAGTAGGTTATCAGTCTCTACCCGCTACTGGGAATCCAAAATGTTTGGGGTCCTATGTTGGACTGAAAACCCCACTGAAAGGAAATGAAAAAGAAAACATAGGCGAATAGGGAAGGTTATTCAAAGAAAGTTAGAAAACAGAAACCGAAGAATTCTGAGTGTAGGGAGTTTGATGCATTGTCCTACAGAGACTAGGTTTGTCTGAACTTCCAATACAAAACTCAAAGTGAGATTTAAGCGCTGCAGTCATACAACAGTATCTGGTTTTAACTACAAAGCATATTTATATATTAAATTGGATCTGAATGGCAGAGAACGGATAACCATAGATACAAACTGAATGCAACTAGAAAAAGTGTTCAGTGTTGTGTGGTTTTAGATAGGATCTATAAAAATAAAAGTATATTTCTTGTTCCAGCAGTCTGTTCACATAAGCACACTACATTTGAAGGAAAAAGAAGTACGAATTGTATTAATACCAGCTTTAGCCCCCATAAACGACGTGGGTTGGGTAGACTTCAGTTTTCCTCTCGAAGTGCTCTCATTTGTCCACGCGTTCAAAGCCTCTTCCAGGTAGGTCCTATTCTCTGCCTTCGCATGGCGACAGCGTTCCTCACAAAAGCGAAAGGGAAAATACGAACAATGTGCGCTTACAACCGGAATAGTGGACACGCTGGTCTACCTGGGGTATCCGCAAAATCCCGATTCCAAACCTGTGCTATATATGAGCTCCAGAATTTGAAACGATCAAACGGTATATGGACCTGTTTTGTTCACCGGAAACCATGGGAACGTAGCTGTTTAGACCGCTCTGTTGCCTTGTGGATCAGACTTCAAGTCAAAAGCATGGGGAGTGGGCGGTGGCGCTTAAGATAACCATCAGCTTTAGTTTAGGCATTCAGGCAATATCCTAGCTCTCCTACAAGCTATGAGATCTAGGGTGGCGAATCTCCTGAGGCCCATAATATACCAAGTTTCTGTTTTGATGATAATAACTAATAAATAACATTAATCCCAAGATCCAATTGGTATGTACATGCCGATGGGAGCATATGATAGAAGAATGTAGTTAGAGTATTTTTATGTAGTTGTGTTCTCTGAGCTGGATGGTTCATCTGCGAAGCTTTCATTGCCCTACTATTAGAGGGAATAAAATTCACATTTGAATCAGAAAGTGAGCAAGGAGAATTAGCCATGTTAAACTGTAAAATCAAGATGAACAGAAGAAGGTAAACTGCATACTAGCGTTTATAAAAAGCCAACGCATTCATCCGTTATCTATCTGTAAAGGCAGACTTAGTTAAGTATCTAACAAAACGAGCAATAATACTATGTGGTACATCAAAAAACCTATATGATGAAATGAAACAGATAAAAGAGGCGTTGGTGTTAAATAACTATTCTATAAAATTTACTAAGGAGATCACAAGAAAAAGAAAAATAATAGTTAAACAAATAGGAATAACATAAATAAGAAAGAATTCAAGGCATCTGCAGTTGTACCATATAAGGAAAAGACGTCTGAAACCCTATGTAGGATTCTTAATACATCAGGAATTACAGTTGCATTGAAACCCACTAACTCACTTAGGCAGCAATAAGCTCTGTGGGTTAAAGGACCCTATTAGATCAATTAGACAAAATAATGTAATTTGCAAAATGCCTCGCAATGACTGTGAAGTCAACGGCATAGGTCAGACCAGTAGATTAGAGTCATTCAGATTACCAGACTATAGAAATTTAGATAAGTGTAGAATGACTGATGCCACAAAGATGAATAGCTTTGGAAAATATTCATCAATCGCAGTGCTTGCATTAACACATAAATCACACTAGGGTGAGATGGAGTTACATTTCTAAAGAGCAGTAGAGATAGATGAAGGGGAAGTCTGAACATTGAATTTCTTTTCTTCGAATCTACACCTAACAAGTGCAACATGAATGTCGCAGCGCCGATACCAGACATATGGAAAATAATCCTACTAGCAATGAAGTGGAAGGATAAGAAATTATGGAATTATATAAACGACGACTTGAAGGTCACGTGAGCACTTTGATATGATTATGAGCAATAAAATGTTCTCGAAACATTATCAGTAAATAATACTCTATCACTCTTCTAGTGTTGGTTTGCAGCGATTTGATTTGATTGGTTATAGGATTTCATCAAGAGCTGACATTGGTTACAGTACAATTTGAAAACTTAGGATCACTGAGTTCGAATCCCGGTGGGTCCGTACTGGTTAGGAGTCCATTAATCCCTGGTTTTTCAATGCTGCTCTAACCATTGTCAGCTCATGATGAAATCCTGTAACTCTGTCATTATATTTTTGAATCAGAAAAAAACTATTGTGATAGAATTATACTATATCACATTGCCCAGATTCTACTCTGATTTCAGTTGTTCATATGAGTTTTGCTTTGATTTCAACGGAGTTTTCACCTCAAGCCTCACATCAACCCTTATTTTTACCCTTACAGAGGAAACAGAATTGGAGAACGGATCATTTCCATCAATAAATATGAATGTGAAAGTTCAGTGTCTTAGCCTTTTTCATGACTAACGAAAATTTAGACATATTGAGTAATACGTCTAATATTCGAGTGTGCCTTAATGCTATTTCGCTATTCTCTCTCTAGGTGAGTTAAGTTACATGAATGTACACAGATGGAGGGAGCTTTGTGTTAAGTCTATAGGTAAGTGTACACATGAAACCATTGTCCGCTAACTGGCCATATCTGTGCGCATATATTAATGCACACACAGGCAAGAACAACTTGTCTGCCTTATCAGGTGTTATTGTTACGTATATATGCAAACATACCCAAACGTACACACACACACACAACATACAAACAAATACACACGCAAATCACACTTTGCATTGTTCTCTTACACAAACACTTAGCATCTATCATATGAAGTCATTTATATGCATTATCATGATGTTCATCGTGACAAAGGATTAGAAACTCATCTTTGATTGGTAGTTTCAACCGAAGGTCAGCAGCTAATATATGGTGAATTTCTCGAATTTCGAATCATAGTGATACAGTCAGTGTTGATTGATAGTTGAAGTTTCTTCACTTCATGTTTGTTATATTCATACTTGGATTATTGATAACAATGACTTAGATAATCAAGCGGTTGAATAACTACAATGGATATCGTATTGAAATCACTTTTTCACTTACTTCTGATCACGGGATGGATTAGCTATTCACAGAGTCAATTGAATTATTGTCTAAAATCGGTTGGATGTTATGATGATGAATGCTGTTTCAATATTATACCTAAAACTGGTCCTGTTTGTGATCCAATACCTGGTTGTGCAGCTTATTTTCAACCAGAGTGCTGTAGAAATGCAAGACCAGTGCATACAGATTATGGAATTATGTATGGCTATGCAATTTCGTTAGATAGTGAATATGGTTATCAGGAGAATGCAAGAAGTTATCTTCAAGTAAGAATTGCTTTTTGTTTAATTCATGAAAAAAATTCTCATTCGAACATTAAAAGAGACAGAAGACAATTAGTTCACCGAAGAGTCTCTTTTTTCGGCGGCGAATTCATTTTCATAGCTGTACAATCGCAAATGTATATGGTTGTTTTGTATGTGTGTGTGTACCTTTAATTTGTCAAACGAAAATACAATTAGTAAGTTCAGATGAATTGGATGTTGATACAAGAGAGGGTAGTAACAAAAGTGATGAGTTGTCACAAACGATTGTTAAAGGAGAGTTACGTAATAACATGAATAGTTTGATGAAAGAGTTGCACTCAGGGTGTACATGGAAACAAAATATACGGAATTACACAAGGGTTTTAAGTAGAAAAATAAGCACACAAACAAAAGTTAAGTCAAATCAACAGAGTTGTTACCATGGGAGTAGAAGTGGTTGAATAATTTTCTTTTGTATGCACAGTTCTGGTTCCTATAGCTTAATGGCTAGGGCTTCTGCGATGCAAAGAAGACGGAATCGTACTGTCTTTGGAAGGTTGTTCTTCACTTTGTAGATTACTTTGAAGCAAGAGGCATCTGTTAAGATGGAATGACCAGTGTTGACGAGGTGTTCGATTATTGCACTCCTTATGCAGCCATTACTTCCTTTCTGCAGCCACGCTGGATAGTGTTCTTTGACCCTTTTTGACAGGATGCGCGTCGAACGACCGATGAACCTGGCTTCACAGCAACAGGTGAACTGATATATACACATAGAAGTGGTCAGGTGCGGGATCTTGTCTTTTAGGCTTCTGCAGATCAGTGGGCGGCTAGAGAACCCTACTCTCAATGTTGCCGCAAAGAAAGTTCTCCTTAAAGAGGTGGAGATTCTCCTTCTAAGGACGCCACTGAGTACGTCTCCTTTGAAGTCGAGGTTCATATAAAGTATCTGTTTTGGCACGGATACTGTCTCTTGCTTTTGGATTTTTTCTTTGATGTTTTTGTCTACGAATCTTGATGGGTAACCGTTTTGTATGTTTTGTTTAATCCAGTTGGAGGAAATTTTGATCTTACAGTATGAAACTTAGGCTCGTGTGTTCTCAGAATACTTCATAGTGTCTTTAGGATCTTAAATTTTAAAAACTTACGTGTTCACTTCTCTGAACTTATTTTGTCTGGAGAAAATAAACTGCATTTTACAGATTTAGGTGTTTCACAGTCACCTCCGAGACTGAGTTCACTAGATTTTGAAGGTAGTCGGGATAGATGGCACCTAGGTTTTTCAAAAGGGAATGTATTGAAACTTTTGAACTGTATAGCTGCTGGAGGGCGCTAGTGAGGCAATTTTGTAGTTTTGATTTAAGTTATTATTGCTGTTTAGTATCGCATATTCTATTGTCTCAGATTATTTTCTATGAAAAAGAGAAGACGTGCAGCGAAGACCATTGCAAGTGTAGTGATTGAACGAACTTCTTCTGTATGCAGAGTTCAGGACTTAGCAAGTGAATTGCCATTGCTTCTGCAGTTTGAAGAAGTTTGATTCGTACACTTTTAGGCAGGGTGCTTCGTACTCTGTAGATGACTTTGAAGTGTCTTTTTAGGGGTGTAGCTTGGTGTCCGGAATCTATAAGATGTTCTAAGATAGAGCTGCAGGGGCATCTTTTTTATCCTTTGTAAAACCATACTGGTAAGTGTTATTGTTGGAATATGATTTTTGAATATGTGTTCCTCGCTGAAGTGTGTTAATCTAACAGTAAAACACATGGAGTAATTCCTACGTTCGGAATGAAATACTTGTATTTTAGACATCACAATTAATAAAAACTGATATAAGGGTTACTTGAATAAGTATTCACTTAGCCGATTCATATAATCGACTCCTTGTTATTCACTTCAGTCTGTTATTTGGTTGTTCTGTGGTAGAATATTCACTAATCATGTGGGAGACTCGTGTTTGATTCTTTTCCGACGCACTTCTAAGCCTCGCCTAGCCAGTATCAATCTTCACACTGTGAAGACAACGCCGTCACTGAAACTTCAAAGTTTAACGCCTGAAGCCGTATGTCTGACTCAGAACGCAAGGACTGAAGAAAGGAAAAGACTCATTATAGGTGGATTAGTTTGACTAGTTTTCAACTAAGTTTGCCTATCTGTAAAAACCCCTACCACTGAGAGTTGAATAACTTTCAGGAAATATTCAAGTATTGGTTTGTAGGGATTTGATTGATTTATTACAGGATTTCGTCATGAGCTGACATCGGTTAGAGAACCATTGGAAAACCTACAGGGAGTACTAGATAGCTGTTTCGCCCTAGTTTGGGACTTTTCGTCAGTACGCATCCAGGAAGTATGTTTGTGAAGTTATTCTCATCGATTAAGATACTGTAAACTGGGAATTACCAAGGCATAAGTTGTGAATACTTTGTTAAATGTTACCAATCGGCTAATAACCACAAGAACATTTGTTCTGCCTTCTGTTTGCGATAAGCACACATTTGCTTTTAATACGAATGAAGTCATCTCTGTGATAGAAAGACTGTTATTGATAGCATTGGTTACACTGATAACAACAAAAGAACACCTGTTCACTTGCATATGCTGAACCCCATTTTATCCTCATCTTTATTTTAGATTTGGAAGGGTATTCCTTATGCACGTCCACCGACAAGAGAGAACAATTTGAGATTTCGTCGACCTATACCACCAGCCCTGTCTACAGAGAAATATGATGCAACCTACTTTCGTTCAGCTTGTTCTCAGCCAAGTTTAAGTCCACGCAGTTCATTTACAGAATGGTCTAAATATCCACATGAATGGTTTAAACGATTCACATTGGTACAAACAGATGAAGAAGCCTCAAATATCAGTGAAGATTGCCTTTATCTTAATATATACAATTTAAAAGTGTCAGACACTTCAACTACAACTAATTTTATCAATGGGAATCAGAAGAGATATCCAATAATTGTATTTTTCGATGGTGTAGATCATTTAACCGGATCAGCAAATCGTTATCCTGGACATGCCTTAGCTCAATTAGGACTAGTGGTTGTCACAGTGAATTACCGTCTAGGCCCATTCGGTTATCTTTCCAATAAAGTTCAAAGCCAGGAAGGTGAATACAAGGATGACAATGATGAGATATTATTGGGAAACTATGCATTATGGGATCAAGTTAGAGCTTTGGAATTTATAAGGGAACATGCAGAGAAATTCCTCGGTGATCCTAACCAAGTAAGCAGTTCTTTTTCTATGATAGAAATTTACTAAATTAAGAATTAGTCCAAAATTTATACCTTAACTGAAAACCGGCATTTCACTGATTAATGAAGAGAGTTAATATCACTTGCACAACAGATTAAAACCAAAGTCCTTCAAATTATTATTACTATTGTTCCCTTGGGTTCCTAGTGGAACATAGGGCTTCAACTGCACGCCTCCACTTGCTTCTGTCTTCTGCTGCACTTTTCACCTGCATCCATGTTAGTCCATACTGTTTCAGCTCCTCTTCACACGATCTCCTCCATGTCACCCTTGCACGTCCCACTCACAGCTTCCCTTTCGGGTTCCACTCGAGCGTTTGCCTGACGCGCGATGTCACTTAGCGGCCTCCTCAGCGAGTTTCCAATCCATCTCCACTTTCTCCTGCATATTTGTTGGGCGATTGGTTCTTGTTTCGTTTGTTCCCATAGCTTCTTGTTTGTGATTCTTTCCGGCCATCTAATCTTCAGTATGGAGCGAAGACAGTTGTTGATAAAGGTCTGCAACAGGCTGTTGGAAATATTCTTTGTGACCCGCCAAGTTTCTGATCCGTATAGAAGAACTGACTGACTTGACGTTTGTATTGAAAATCCGAATCATTTTGTTGTTGATGCTGAGTTGAGTGACGAAGATTTCCAGATTGGTTTCAGGTTGATGAATGTGTTTCTCGCCTTCCCGATTCTCGATTTGACATCCTCGTCCGTTCCTCCTGTGGTTGAGACAATGCTCCTTAGATAAGTGAATGAAGTAACCTCTTTCAAATCCCTCCTGTTGATGATGATTGGTGCTGGATGTTGCTGTTGTTGGTTGGTTATTTTCATAACCTCCATCTTGTCTATGTTCACCTGGAGTCCTGTCTTTGCTGCTTCGTCGACCAGTTTGTCGGCTTTCGCTTGTAAGTCTTAGATATTGTGTGACATCAAACATAAGTCCTCCGCGAAATCCAGGTCTTCTAAGTTCTTCACGTCGGTGCAGTATATCCCTGTCTTTTTGGTGTGGTTGTGTTCTCTGAGCTGGATGGTTTGGTTGCGAAGCTTTCATTGCTCTACTGAGCAACATCTTCAGCGCATACTTCGATGTGAAGTGAGCTTTTAGAATTCTCTATGAGTTTATTAGTCATCTCTTCTAGTAACCTTGAACGTGATTGGTTGTTTTCGTGTGACATTTCATCCCCTAGTTTGCTTGTCTCGGTGCTGGCTGCTTCTTTGGTCTGAATGTCGTTAGTCATTCCTTCTGCTAACCTTGAACGTGATTGGTTGTTTTTGTGTGACTTCTCACTTTCTAGTTCACTTGTTTTGGTGTTGACTGTTTCCTTGACCTGAAGTTTGACTTTGTTTTTGTGTGAATTTCTTTGTATGGATTGGTATATTTTGTCAATCTCTATGTGTCTATTGATTGCTGATTCATTTGAATACCAGGCCTCTAGGAATTCTCTGGCATTTTTGCAGTTCCCTTTGTCTAAGATTTGAACATTGTCCCAGTCGAATTGGTGCCCGTGGTTGTCTGCATGTAGTGATATGAGGGAGTGTATGTCGTGTCTTTTGACAGCTAGTTTGTGTTCGTGAATGCGAAGACGAAGAGGGCGTCCACTTTGACCAATGTAATGTTTGTCGCAGTCGTTGCAATTTATCTTGTAGATGACGTTAGTTTTGTCTTCTTTTGCCGTTGAGTCCTTTGGCTTACATAGAACTGAGTGTAGTGACTTTGTTGGTTTATGAGCGACATCGATTCCAAAAGGTTTGAATAGTCTTGCAGTGATTTCGGAGATATCTTTTATATATGGTAGGACGACTTTCTTTGTGTTTTCGCTGGTGGCCTTTGATTTGGTTGGTTGAGCTGGGGGTAGATGTCTTTTGATGAAGTTTCGTGGGTATCCATTTCTTTGGAAGACGTCCATAAGATGATTTTTTTCAATTCTTCTTCACAGAACAAAAAGCCTCAAAAGACTGAAAACAGAAGATATCGTTATAGTACTGACAAAGGAAGGACTACAGTAATCATGGACAAAGAAGAATACACTGCAAAAGCGGAAGAACTACTCAAAGATCAAACAATATACCAACAACTAACAACAAACCCCATCGAAACACTAAACAACCGCATCCAAAGAACCCTAAGCAAACTCACCAAAACGGGTCAGATCACAAAAGAAGATCAATGGCGAATGAAATCCAATGGACCCGTCATACCTCGATTCTACGGCAGACCAAAAATACACAAGCCAAATATACCTCTACGACCAATCGTATCACTCCCAGGAACCCCAACATACAATTTATCCAAAGAACTATACAGAAGACTGAAACACTTGACGAAATCATGTGATCACTCCATCCAATCTGCGACCCAATTTTTAGAGAAAATCAAAGGCATTGAAATAGACAGCCAAGAAATAATGATATCCTTCGACGTCACGGCATTATATACTTCGATTGGACTAAAACTAGCAAAAGAAACCATGGAACAACTACTCAACAACGACGAACACATACAACAATCAAAAATGCAGCATTCAAGTTGGATGGAATGCATAAACTTGTGTCTCACAACTTATTTCCAATTCAACGGCCAAATGTATGAACAAATTCAAGGGACACCTATGGGATCACCCATATCAGGATTGATTGCGGAAGCCGTCATGCAAAGACTGGAAAACATAATTCTGCCAAAGATCAAACCGAAAATTTGGATACGCTACATAGATGATACATTCGTGATAATCAAAAGAGAAAACTTAGACAATACCCACAACATAATAAACAACACCTTCAACGACATCAAATTCACAAGAGAGGAAGAATATGAAAACAAAATCCCATTCTTAGACGTCTTAATCAAACGAACAACTACAGGAAAATTAGAAACCCAAGTATACAGAAAACCAACGCACACGGATCAAATACTCAATTACAACAGTAACAACCCAACATCACACAAAATTAGCTGCATACGTACATTGTTCAAGAGAGCCAGGACTCATTGCAGCACTCCCGCCTTGAGGAAAATTGAAGAAAATCATCTTATGGACGTCTTCCAAAGAAATGGATACCCACGAAACTTCATCAAAAGACATCTACCCCCAGCTCAACCAACCAAATCAAAGGCCACCAGCGAAAACACAAAGAAAGTCGTCCTACCATATATAAAAGATATCTCCGAAATCACTGCAAGACTATTCAAACCTTTTGGAATCGATGTCGCTCATAAACCAACAAAGTCACTACACTCAGTTCTATGTAAGCCAAAGGACTCAACGGCAAAAGAAGACAAAACTAACGTCATCTACAAGATAAATTGCAACGACTGCGACAAACATTACATTGGTCAAAGTGGACGCCCTCTTCGTCTTCGCATTCACGAACACAAACTAGCTGTCAAAAGACACGACATACACTCCCTCATATCACTACATGCAGACAACCACGGGCACCAATTCGACTGGGACAATGTTCAAATCTTAGACAAAGGGAACTGCAAAAATGCCAGAGAATTCCTAGAGGCCTGGTATTCAAATGAATCAGCAATCAATAGACACATAGAGATTGACAAAATATACCAATCCATACAAAGAAATTCACACAAAAACAAAGTCAAACTTCAGGTCAAGGAAACAGTCAACACCAAAACAAGTGAACTAGAAAGTGAGAAGTCACACAAAAACAACCAATCACGTTCAAGGTTAGCAGAAGGAATGACTAATGACATTCAGACCAAAGAAGCAGCCAGCACCGAGACAAGCAAACTAGGGGATGAAATGTCACACGAAAACAACCAATCACGTTCAAGGTTACTAGAAGAGATGACTAATAAACTCATAGAGAATTCTAAAAGCTCACTTCACATCGAAGTATGCGCTGAAGATGTTGCTCAGTAGAGCAATGAAAGCTTCGCAACCAAACCATCCAGCTCAGAGAACACAACCACACCAAAATCATCCACCTGAGCTACAAATCTTCTCTATTATGTATCCCTGTCTTCTCTTTTCCCACTGTCTGACGCATAATCCAGTCCACCACAATCAGGAATATCATTGGTGATAATAGGCACCCTTGTCTGACTCCTGTGTTTACTCCAAACGCTTCGCTGAGTTTTCCGTTGTGGATCACTTGATATGTGCCGTTGTCGTACAGCTGTTCAAGTTAGTATAAGACAATAACGGCATTAAAAAAATATCACTCACCAGCTGATGACTGTCTGTCTGTCAGTCCATTTTCGACATAGAAATTTGCACTGATGTGCAGCAGTTCAAGTCACCACACTCCATGTAGCACACAAAGCAAGAGAAGAAAGTAGAAGATTTGCATAATAGAGACAGTGGACACGGATATGAGACAAAAGGAATAGTAATAACGAAGAACAATATAGTTCCATTGGAAATTATAAGTCACAAGGAGTGGATGCATCTGCCAGTGCCATTGAGAACAGTCACTTTGAGCCATATCACCAATTTTCTTGAGCCATTGGTGTTTAGCGTCCCGAGAAGCCTAACCAGGGAATCTACACCTTCCTACGTGGCTTAAACTAACTGTTGTGGATTTCATTGACTGGTGCCATGTTTTGGTTTGACCGCCGCTAGCTCTTTTCCAGGCTGAGTCTATGTCAGCTAACATTGCCTGTCGTCGAGGAAGGCGATGGCTAGGCGTGCATACGTAACACATGTCCTAGCCATCTCAGTCGATGTAGCTCCACAGCCTTGTCGATTGATTTCTCCTTCTTACCTAGTACTCGACGCCTGACCTCAATATTGCTCACTCTATTATACCACTTCACACGGGAGATAGAACGCAGGCACCTATGACCAAAGACAGCTAGTCTTTTCATGTTTTCCACTCTCAATGGCCATGTCTCATTCACAGCCATAAAGGAGGACAGAGTGGACTGCAGAGCAGTACAGCCGCCCTTTAGTCGATAACCAGATATCACGTCTACGCCAGAGACGGCGTAAACTGGCATATGCGAAACTAGCCTTCTGT